CACGTTGAGCATTCTCCAGGGCAGATCATGGACAGGCCACAAAATAAATCTTGGCAAATATAAGAAGACTGAAACCACACCAACTGTCTTTTCTGACTATTATGGTCAGAATGACCAGTGAAACATAAATCAACAACAAGAGGAAAGTGTCAAAGAAGATCTACAAATATGTAGAAACTAACCCACTTCTTCTTCCTTTTTAATGTTTTATTTCTTTCTGAGAGAGAGAGAGAGACAGTGTGAGCAGGGAAGGGTCAGGGAGAAAGAGAGACACAGAATCCGAAGCAGGCTCCAGGCTCTGAGCTGGCAGTCAGCACAAAGGCCGATGCAGAACTCGAACCCACAAATCATGAGATCATGACCTGAGCCGAAGTCAGACACTTAACCGACTGAACCAACAGGCGACCCGAAACTAACCCACTTCTAAACAATGGGTCAGGGGTGCCTGGGTGGCTCAGTCGGTTGGGTGTCCGACTTCGGGTAAGGTCATGATCTCACGGTTCGTGGGTTCGAGCCCCGTGTCAGGCTCTGTGCTGACAGCTCAGAGCCTGGAGCCTGCTTCAGATTCTGTGTCTGCCTCTCTTTCTGCTCCTCTCCTGCTCATGCTCTGTCTCTCTCTTTCTCTCTCAAAAATAAATAAGTAAACATTAAAAAAAATCAATAAATGGGACTACATCAAATTCAAAAGCTTCTGCAGAGCAAAAGAAACAACAAAATGAAAAGACAACCTACAGAATGGGAGACAATTTTTGCAAGCCATGTATCAGACAAGGGGTTAATATGCAACATATATAAAGAACTCACATAACCTAGTAACAACAATAACAAAAACAATCCAATTAAAACATGGGCCGAAAAAGTAATAGACATTTCTCCAGAGGAGACATCCAGATGCACAACAGGCATGAGAAGGAGCTCAACATCACTAATCATCAGGGAAATGCAAACTGAACCACAATGAGATTTCACCTCACACCTGTCAGAACTGCTATCATCAAGAAAAGGGGCGCCTGGGTGGCTCAGTTGGTTACATGTCCTACTCTTGATTTCAGCTCAGGTCACGATCTCCCAGTTCATGAGATCGAATCCTGCTTCCGGCTCTGCACTGACAGCGCGGATCCTGCTTGGCTTCTCTCTTTGCCTCACTGCTACTGAGGCATGCATGCACACATGCTCTTTCTCTCTCTCAAAATAAATAAACTTAGAAAAAAAAAGACGAGACAAAAGGTGCTCGTGAGGATGTGGTGAAAAACAAAACCAAAAACAAACCCTTGTTCACTGTAGGGGGGGGATGTAAATTGGTCCAACTACTATGGAAAACAATATGGAGACTCCTCAAAAAATTAAAAACAGAACTCTATGTGATCCAGCAATTTCACTTCTGGGAATATACCCAAATGAAATGAAAACAGGATTTCAAGGAGACCTCTGCACACCCATGCTTATCAAAGCATTGTTCACAAGAGCCAAGATAAGGAAACAACAAATGCCTATCAATGGATGGATGGATAAAAGGATGTAGTACGGGGGCCCCTGGCGGGCTCAGCTGGTGGAGTGTGCGACTCTTGATCTCTGGGTTGTGAGTTCTAGTCCCACGTTGGGTGTAAAGACAAACTGAAAATAAGATCTTTAAAAAAGAAGAGGTATAGGGGCTCCTGGGTGGCTGAGTCGGTCGAACATGTGACTTCGGCTCAGGTCATAATCTCATGGTTCATGGGTTCGAGCCCCTCATGGGGCTCTGTGCTGACAGCTGAGCCTGGAGCTGCTTCAGATTCTGTGTCTCCCTCTCTCTCTCTGCCCCTCCCTTGCTGGTACTCTATCTCTGTCTCTCTCTCTCTCAAAAAAAAAAAAAAAAAAAGAGGTATAATACATATACACAACGTAATATCAAGGGAAGACAACCTTGTCCCTTTACAACAACATGGATAGATGCTGAGCACATCACGCTGAGATACGTCAGACAGAAAGACAGGTACTGTGTGGAATCTAAAAAAAAATCTAAACCCGTAAAACAACCAGAGAGTAAATGGTGATTAGCAGGGGATGCAGAGATTAGACGGAGGCTGTTTCAAAGTACAAATTTGTAACAAGTAGGGAATAAACCACGGAGATCTAAGGCAGGGCATAAAGAATACAGATGATAATATTGGATAATACTGTACTATAATTACACAATGTAATAATATTGCTACAGTCATATTACAACATATAAACATCAAAATGACAGCTGTACATCGTAATTTTATACAAGGTTCCACCAATTTTTTCAATGTTTATTTTTGAGAGAGAGAGAGAGAGAGAGAGAGAAAATCTGAAACAGGCTCCAGGCTCTGAGCTGTCAGCACAGAGCCCGACGCGGGGCTCGAACCCAAGAACCATGAGATCATAACCTGAGCTGAAGTCTGACGCTTAAGCGACTGAGCCACCCAGGCGCTCCTACAAGTCAAATTTAGTCAAAAATAATTTTTAAAAAAGGTCTCGCATGCCCTACTTTAAGACTTTAAAGTGTTAAGGGGCGCCTGGGTGTCTCAGGTCATGATCTCGAAGTCCCTGGGTTCCAGCCCCGCGTCGGGCTCTTTGCTGACAGCTGAGATCCAGGAACCTGCTTCCGATTCTGTGTCTCCTCCCTGCCCCTCCCCACTCCAGCTCTGTCTCTGTTTCTTTCAAAAATAAACATTCCCACAAGGGCACTTGTGGGGATGAGCACTGGGTGTTATATGGAAACCAACTTGACAATAAACTATTTTTTAAAAACTAAAAAATAAACAAAAAAATTTTTTTCAAGACTTTAAAGTGTTAAATTGGTTACACTAATGGCCAAAGTGTAACGGAGAGACCAAGACACCCCTGCATACTTAGGGCGCTCTTTGGAATGCCACCCCCAGAGCGCCTGAAGTCTGGGGCTTCAGAAACCCTCTTCCCCAGCAAGGCAGGGGCGGAGGCGGGTGGGGGAGGCAGTGGAGACGTGTCCGGCGGGTGCCCCGGGCCCTTCCCCCTGAGGCTACAGGGCGCCCCTAGGGAGCGGGGAGCGCTCTCCAGGACCCGGTTCGGGAGCGTCCTCCTGGGAACGCGCGCTCCTCTGGCGGCGCCGGGGAGCTTCGGGGGCCCCTACTCACCGGATGCGGACACCTCTCCTCCACACCCGGACGAGAGGGGCGCGCCCACGCCTCTCCCACGCCACGCACACCTCTCCTACGACCCTCCCACGGCCCGCACGCCTCTCCCACGCCCCAACGCCCCGCCCACGCCCCGCACGCCTCTTCCACGCCCCTCCCACGGCCCGCACGCCCCTCCCACGCCCCCACGCCCCTCCCACCTCTCCCACGCCCCGCCCACGCCCCCACGCCCCGCCCACCTCTCCCACGGCACGCCCACGCCCCGCACGCCCCGCCCACGCCCCCACGCCCCGCCCACATCTCCCACGCCCCGCCCACGCCCCGCACGCCCCCCACCTCTCCCACGGCCCGCCCACGCCCCTCCCACGCCCCCACGCCCCGCCCACCTCTCCCACGGCCCGCCCACGGCCCGCACGCCTCGCCCACGCCCCGCCCACGCCCCCACGCCCCGCCCACGCCCCTCCAGCACCGACGTGGGCGGCGCCAGGGCGCGGACTGCGCGCACCGAAGCTTCCCGACGGCGCACGCGGCGCGCACCACTTAGCAAAGGTCTGCGGTGCGTCCAGGGCAACGTCGGATCCCTCCCCAGCGCGGTGAGAGGCTCCAGCATTTTGTTCGGCAGGAGCCGCTCTAGGTGGAAAGCACCTGCGCGTCCCCTGCCCCCCGCCCTCAACCCCGGGCACAGGGCCAGGCCCGCAGGGGCCGCTGGGACTTAGAGTCCCCAGGGCGGGGCCGACGCGTCCAGCATCCCTCTGGGAACCTGTAGGCGTGGGGACCCGTCCGTTTGCTTCACCCGCACCAAGTCCGGGTCGGCGTTACTTGAATGCCTGCTCTGTGCTCAACTCCTCCTGGGACTGGTGCAGAGTAGGTGAGCTCATGCCCACTTTAGCTTAAGCAGGAAGATGAACTTGCAAGGTAGGAGGTACGGAACAATAAATTGACCAAAAAAAAAAAAAAAAAAAGTGCTGTTTGAAGGTTGCACTTCGCTTTTGAGTTTCCCTTCCTCCAGCGGAGACTGTCAGTACAGGTTGGGAGATGCATCTTGAGGCTTAAATAAAAGATGGCATCTCCTCGATTGTTTCCAGGCTCTGGACCTCGTAATTTGTGTTGCCCTAAGAATACACGCGCTTTTGTTAATCCTGCAATTAACTAGTGAGTAGCAAAATTAGACTGCATGGTGTGTGCGTGTGCTGGATATAAACTTTCAAAATATGCTATAGTTCTTGTAAATTGTTTTGGCATTTATCCCATTTTTAATGTGCCCAAAATCCCAAGGGACGTGGACTCAAATCTTTCTTGACCTAACGGAGGACGTTGATGCTTTGGGGCTTGTCCCTGAGAGGAATGGATGATTTGTGAGAGCAGTTTTGATGCCTTTCAATGACTTATATGTAAATTCACACATCAGAAAATCCTTTGGGGCGCCTGGGTGGCTCAGTTGTTTAAGCGTCCGACTTTGGCTCAGGTCATGATCTCACCATTTGTGAGTCTGAACCCTGCGTCGGTCTCTGTGCTGACGGCTCAGATTATGAGTCTGCTTGAGATTCTGTGTCTCCCCCTCTCTCGGCCCCTCCTCCCCCACCTCAAAAATAAATATTTTTAAAAAAGACTCTCCTTTTCTAGGTCACTTGCTCTTAGCTTTTGATTTCAGAAAACAAGATCACAGTTAAGTAAAAGATATTTGTTCTCCAATTTGTCAGCTAATGGAACACCTAGAAGTCATGACTCTTTTCTTAAAACGCTTCTAAATGCTGTATCACAACTAACTGTAGAAATTTTTTTGGTTAAATTCTACCTTTTTCATATCCTAGGACTGGTAAAAGACAGCTGGTGCCATATATTTTATTAATTTTGATTTTGACATGCAAACAAATTACAAAGAAATGATTCTATCTTAATTTATGTCATTCTGAGTACCAAGCAGCATTTAACATAGGGAACAGTTCCTGGTCACTCTATCCCAGATGTCACTCTTAGGAGACACAGGGGGCACTTTGCACCTTTGATATTGGCAGCAGATGAGTGAGACCCCATCTTATCTACAAATTTCCCAAACCTCCTTCCTACCCCCCTACCCCAACCATGCTGAGCTTCTGTCCCAGAAGGGAAGAGAACCTGTGAAATCTCACACAGTGGTAACTTGGTCAAGGACTCATCATTCCCTGCGGTAACTGTGGAGCCGATGCCTACAGGGACAGGCCTGAGATCCGGAGAAGGAGGAAGAGGGGAAACATTTCCCCGGCCTCCTAACTCAGGTTCTCCGCCAGGGAACCCCCCCCCCCCATCCTCCAAATGAGCAATGTTGGGAACGGTCATCATAGCACTTGCTCGTTCCCTTGACCCACAAGGATTGGGGCTTCAGCTGCCCTTTATTGGGAAAGACAAATGGTGCTGAATGTTCCCACGAAGAACAGGACAGTCCCACGTGGTGGAGAAATCTCCCACCCAAAGGGCCACGTGGTGAGACGCACAGGCGGTGCCCATGGTGGAGTGTGGTGTTTGGAGAGCCCGGCGCCACTACCCCAGCGCAGGACCGGCGAGGGCGCAGCTGTGCTTCGCGGGTCCACGCGGAGACTCCAGGCCGCACCAGGCTTCCAGCACGAGGGCGCCCATAATAAGCACGACGAAGGCCGCCAGACCCAGGCGGAGGAGGTTGCCCAAGGCGTAGTCCTTCGGGGTGGCGCCTGGGGGGACTGGGAGACGGGGGCCGGTCAGCACCAGCCGGGAGAGGGGCGCCCGTCCCTCCCACGCGGGTCCGCCCGACGGGGCTCCCCCGCCCCCACGCGTGTGTCCTGGCCGGTGGTCAGCGCAGCCGCCCCGACCTTGTGATGCTGAAAACACGACGTGCGGCTGCAGGAGAGTCGTGGCGGCTCTTCCTTGGTCTTCTCGCCTTTGTCTTCTCCCTGCCCTGCTCTCTCCCTTGTTTGCTCTGCTTGCACCTTCGCGCACGTCCCTTTGCCCTTCTCCCTCCTGACACTAGGAATCAGGCTTAGGAGCAAGCCCCGGAGCCCCAAGTCGCTGCGCGGAGCGCTGAAATGATTGCACCCCGTCTTCACAGCAAAGACTTCCTGCAGCCCAAGCCCCGGAAAATTCAAGCTCGGCAGCTAAGCACCGAGCCCCCTGTGCACTTGGTTTCCACCGCAGCCACGAAGAGCGAGGGCTCGCGCGGGGCCCGCTCCTCCCCACCACCTGCGTGGGAATCTCCATCTCACACAGGCCTTGGGGGCAGAGCGCATGTGTGAGCCCATCAGCAACAACATTGCCTGGAGACAGAGTCCGAGAGGAGGGTCCCGTGGTGCCGCCCCCGAGCCCAGGATGCCCTCTGCGCCCCTCTGCGCTGGCTGCTGGGCCCTGGCTTTCTATCCACGGGGCGTTCGGCCCCCATGGCTCCCACGCACACACACCCACGGTGCCGCGGAAGCAGAGCGCGTGGCACCTGAGGAAGCAAAGTTGTGGCCAGTCACAGAAGGTCATCGCGGAAGACCCTCCGTCGGTGACACAGAAGCTGGCGGCCGGGGCAGCACCGGGTACTAGGGACCAGACGGAGGCACCGCCACGACGCTGCCCTCACCGGGATGACAGGCAAGTCTGTGTGACCCACAGGGTGACGGAAGGGACGCTGATGGTTGGCCGCAAAGGGATGGATCGTTTGCAAGAACAACTTGAGGAATTATCCAGGAATACAGAACAGCAAAGGCCAAAGACCAGAGATTAGGAAAGGGCAGGTTTACAAAGGAGATGACAGTAAAGTCAGGGGAGAAAGAATCAGAAAGTAATAGAAGAAACGCTCTCCAGGTTTAAAAAAATAATAAAAAAGCACGTCGTACACCTTAAACCAATAGTGTTATAAGTCAGTGATAGGTCCACAAAACTGGAGAAAGCAAATAAAAGAGCCAAAGTAAAAAGAAGCTGATTAAGAAATGAATTAGGTTTCTCAAACTTCCGAAAAATCCTGCAAAACCTCACCTCTCACCCGGATCTCAAGAGGCTCACTAGGCAGTGAGGTCCAGAAAGGAGCCTGGGTCTGGAAGTACACACAGCTGTAGTTCCCGGAGTCTTCGGCTGTCACAGTCTGCAGGGAGAAGTCCGTCTCCTTCCCGACTGGAGTCCGGAGCTGGATGGGCCCTGTCGCTCCCGCCTTCAGCAGAGCGAACATTATTGGCCTGAAAACATCATCAGGCCTCTGGCACTGCAGGGTCACAGTGTTTCCTGCGGTCACCTCACCCCTTTGGTGGGCTTGCAGGGAAGGTTTAGGCCAATCTCCTGCAAGAGAAGGGGGCTCTGAGGTCACGGGGAGAAGCCCAGGGTCCCCCACTCACCCTGGTTCTTCCGCTGGGGTTCCTGCCCAGTGTGGGACGCGACAGGTCCCTCTTTCGACTCTGACTGCGGGAAGGAGGTCCCGTCCCCACAAGCCCTGGATGCAGCGGCCAAGTCATTCTGTTGCTGTGCTTCTGCGTCTCCTCCATCCCCTGCCCTCCTCAGGTCCCTCCCCCAGGCCTCACCTGTCACCAGTAGCAGGACACGGTCACTGGGCGGTGATCGTATGGAGGGGGCCCCTTGTCTGTAGAGCTCACAGGTATAGACTCCAGCCTGACTGTTTCTCAGGTCAGTGAGGTGAAATTCAGCCAGGCCCTCTGTGGAAGCCAGTGATGGTGAAGAATCCAAAAAAATATCTCCCTTCCTGAGAGCAAAGTCAACATCCTTGGTTGGGGCCCGACATTGCAGCGTTATGTTGCTCCCATGAGGCACCACCGAGCTGGGCCAGGCCCTGAGGGAGGGCTTGGGAAGGGGCTCTGGAAGGAAGCAGATCGGGGATGGGAATTGGTGCCCTCACCCGCTCTGAGAAAACCCCTTTAAGGAAAGAGAAGGGATGTGGGGAATTTGGAGCAAAGAAGAGGGTGGGTTTAACTGGAGGAATGCTCACCTTTAGTCTCCCTGCTTCCTTGGGCAGCGCACAGCCCTGCAAGAGAACCGTCTGTCCTGAGACCTGAGTCCCTGTCCCCAGGGGCCTCCCCAGGGGAGTGCTGCTGAGACAGGACCCTGGAGGGCTAGCATCTGGGGGTTCTCTACCACCTGCACTGCCCCAGGACCTCTGCTCATTCCACAAACATCCACCAAATGCTTGATTCTTGAGAGTTTATGTATCCGTGCCACAGGACACACACGGTGTCACTGCTCTGCAAACACCTGGAAGGTAACTACTCTGTGCTGCTCACCTCAGCCTCCCCAGTGTCTGGAACATACTGAGACTCAACACATGCATGGTAACCGACCAAAGCGATGCCCCAATGGAAACGTGACTCAGAGAGATTTTTCAAGTGGAAAAACCAGTGTCTTTGGAGGCAGACGGGCCAGCGTTTGAATGTTGACCTTTCTGCTCATTCTCTGCATGGTCCTGAGCAGGAACCCTGAGCTGTCAATCTCAGGGCCCTCCATGGGGCTCCTGGGTGGCTTAGTCGGTTTTTCGCTTAGGTCCTGATCTCGTGGTTCGTGGGTTCGAGCCCCGCGTTGGGCTCTGTGCTGACTGCCAGCTCAGAGCCTGGAGCCTGTTTCAGTCTGTGACTCCCTCTCTCTCTGACCCTCCCCTGCTCACGCTGTCTCTCTGTCTCTCCTAGAAATAAATAAAACATTTAAAAAAAAATCTCAGGGCCCTCCTTTCTCAGCGTGGGGCAATTCCCACCACGCGGGACTGCTGGCAAGGGTCAGAGTGGTGTTTCCCACAGGGTGGATTACAGACCACAGGTGCGCTAGGAGATGATTTTAGGGGATGATCACGGCATCGGAAAGGTATTACCCTCTCAAATCACTTCCACTTCTTTGATCACAACAAAGAACTTTTCAGGCTAGAGGTCAAGCTTCTTACACATCTGTCTCTGGCTTATTGCCCTTTGTATTAAGGAAGGAGCTGGCCATGGGCTCAGAAATCTGATGGGCAACCCTTCTTGGCTAGAATGTCCTAACATCTTCCTTTGCAATGTGTATATGCTTACCTCAACCTATTTTTGGTAAGTGACCCTGGCTTTTCTTTTAACTTTTATTTATTTAAAAAAAAAGTTTAATGCTTAATTTATTTTGAGAGAGAGAGAAAGAGAGAGAATGAGTGGGGGAGGGGCAGAGAGAGGGAGACACAGAATCCAAAGCAGGCTCCAGGCTCTGAGCCGTCAGCACAGAGCCCTACACGGGGCTCGAACCCACAAACCGCGACATCATGACCTGAGCCAAAGCTTAACCGATTGAGCCACCCAGGCACTCCTAAATTTTTATTTAAGCGATTGGCATAAAGTTTCCAGCTTCAAATGAATGTAGTTGTTTAAAATAAAGACATTAAAAAAATAATAAAATAAAGATACTGAATCAGTAAAATGTTAAATAAATAGGGATGATAGAGGCCTACGGGATAGACCGTGGATGTGGAAAGTAAGGATTTGCATGCTAGAAAACATTTGATGTGACTAAAGCCTCCACAGGGTGCCTAACACGTATGAAGCAATCAGTAAGGACAAGCAGGTGTTATTAGTTCTCTTTCCAGTTATAACCACCACATTTCTTTCCATCCACCCCCACCTCTAATCCCAGTATTCAGGCCCAAGAAACTTACCAAGGCAGACCAGGCAAATGAATTCAGAGATCATACTGGTCCTTCAGGCTGCTCTAAGGGTCCTTCTTCTGTTTCAGCCACAACAGGGAGGGAAGCTGCATGTGGGTGTGACAACTTTGGTTGACTTTTCCCTTCCTTCCTCTCATGTGACATTTTGTGTTCCAACCACATCCAGAAAACAAGAAGTAAGTCAAACATACATGTTGCCAGCCATAGGATAATCACTAAAATAAATGAACAAAAAACAAATAGAGGTTAAAAAAAAAAAAGGAGAGTTAAAATGGCCTATTAAAAAATAACAGTAGGGGTGTCTGAGTGGCTCACTTGGCTACGCATCCAACTCTTGGTTTCGGCTCAGGTCATGATATCATGGTTCATGAGATCAAGCCTGGTGTCAGGCTCTACACTGGGTGTGGAGCCTGCTTGGGACTTTCTCCTTCTTTCTCTGCCCCTCCCCCATTTGTGTGCACTCTCTCTCTCTCTCAAAAATAAATAAACTTAAGAAAATAACAATAATTGTTTTTAAAACAAAGACTTTGGAAAAGAGGAAACATAAAAGAGATGCACAAAGAGAAGGACTAGCAAGATGATAAACTTACATTCTATAAATAAGTAATTGCATTAAATATAAATGGACTCAAAAATTCAATTAAAAGACTATTAGACTGGATGTTTTTTAAAAACCTAAATATATGCTGGTTTTTTAAAATTCTTTAATGTTTATTTATTTTTGAGGGAGAGACACAGAGTACAAGCAGGAGAGGGCAGAGAGACAGAGAGAGAGAGACTTCGAAAGAGGTTCCAGGCTCTGAGCTGTCAGCATGGAGCCCAATGCGAGACAAACCCATGGACTGTGAGATCATGACCTGAGCTGAAGTTGGATGCTTAACTGACTGAGCCACCCAGGCGCCCCATATATGCTGTTTAAAAAAAACAAACACTTTAAAAAAAAAAAAAAAAAAAAAAAAAAAAAAAAAAAAAAAAAAAAAAAAAAAACCACCAAAACCAAAAAAACCCCCAAAAGATATAACATATAACCAGCAAAAGAAATGTGAAATGGCTATACTAGTAGATTTTAAGGCAAGAAATAGCATTAGATATGAAGAGGAATATTTACTAATGATAAAATAGCCAATTGAAGGGAAATACAAATAATTCTAACTTTGTATGCACCTACTAACATACACACAAAAATCCATAAAAGAATTGTTGACACTATAAAGAACTTAAATAAACATATAATCACTTTATCTTTTAACGTATCTCTCTCAGTAACTACATTCCACATGGAAAAACAAAAAACAAAACAAAAACACAAGTCCAAACAAAGAAAGGAAAGAAAGACATTTGCTACCCAAGCAATCAAACCCAGAGAAAGTAAAATGCTATTTCACTCTACAAAAAAAATTTATTTTTGAGAGACAGAGCAGAAGTGAGGGAGGGGCAGAGAGAGAATGAGACATAGAATCTGAAGCAGGCTCCTGGCTCTGAACTGTCAGCACACAGCCCAACATGAGGCTCAAATTCACAAACTGTGAGATCATGACCTGAGCTGAAGTTGGACGTTTAACTGACTGAGCCACCCAGGCACCCCCAAAAAGTTTTTAATGCTAACATGTAATGTTGACTAGAATTTTGCAAAATATACATGTGCATAATCAGTTTTTAGAATGACAAATCAATATTCTTTACTAAATGGCAACTCGCTTATGAAGCTTATCTGCCTCCTCCCACCACCACACAAAACATTTATAGCCTTCCACCTGGGAGTTTGAATTCCAGTAGTTTACCCTGAGGAATAATTAAAGTTGTCCAAATGATTTTCAAGTTGCTCATTTTAATTATGTTTATATTAACAAGTGAATTGGAAGCAATATAACTGTGCAGAAGTAGGAGATTGGTTAGTTACAAGTTCTTACTTCCATAGAGAGGAAGACTATGCATCAAGTTAAAGTACATCGTGAAGCATAAAAATAAAATTTCAATTTTCCAAGAAGGTATGATAATGTATAAAAATATGTATAAACAAATAAAAGAGACTCAAAATTCTAAAACTTTTAAGAATAAATCACACTGTGGAAGCAATTTATAACTGCGTTATGGGAAAGTACTCATTGGGATAGAACACTCTTTAAAATGTATTGGGGGGCGCCTGGGTGGCTTAGTCGGTTAAGCGTCCGACTTTCGCTTAGGTCATGATCTCGCGGTTCGTGGGTTCGAGCCCCGCGTCGGGCTCTGTGCTGACTGCCAGCTCAGAGCTTGGAGCCTGTTTCAGCCTGTGACTCCCTCTCTCTCTGACCCTCCCCTGCTCAAGCTGTCTCTCTCTCTCTCTCCTAGAAATAAATAAAAACATTAAAAGAAATTTAATAAATAAATAAATAAATAAAACGTATTGGTTTGTGGGGTGCCTGGGTGGCTCAGTCGGTTGGGCGGCTGACTTCGGCTCAGGTCATGATCTCACGGTTCGTGGGTTCAAGCTCCGCGTTGGGCTCTGTACTGACACCTCAGAGCCTGGAGCCTGTTTCGGATTCTGTGTCTCCCTCTCTCTCTGACTCTCCCCTTCTCACGCTGTCTCTCTCTCTCAGAAATAAATGAAATGTTAAAAAATTTTTTTAAATAAATAAAATGTGCTAGTTTGTGACAAAAGAAGATAACAGTATAGGATATACATATATATATATATTACACACACACACACATATACACATACATACATATATTACCCCCAAACATTCTGAAGTAGGCGAGCCTTTTAAATGAACATCCTTGGGGTGCCTGGGTGGCTCAGTCAGTTAAGCATCTGACTTCGGTTCAGGTCATGACCTTGTGGTTCGTGAGTGTGATCCCCATGTTGGACTCCATGCTGACAGCTCAGAGCCTGTAGCCAGCTTCAGATTCTGTATCTCCCTCTCTCTCTGCCCCTTCCTTGCTTGCTCTCTCTCTCTCCTTCAAAAATAAATAAACATTAAAAAGAAAAAGAAAACAAATTACACAAAGACTTGAAGCCTCAGTTTTCTATGTGCAGAAAGTAAGCTGAGAAATCAAGAGAGTCATATTCTCCAGGGTCCTCTTCAGAAGTGGAGAGGAGGGTTGATCAAATAAAGATAACTCAGAGGGAGGAACCAAGAGCTGTGAAGAACAGTGGACTGGGAACCCCTTCACAGAGAATAGGACTGAAACTTTATGAAGGAACATTTCCATCCCCAGAACCGTGGCATCTTGCAGCATTTCCCCAGAGTGATTTGGCAAATGCTGTGAATCAGTGACTACTGGTGTTTCCCACAGGGAAGAAGCCTTTTCACTTGGGAGTATTGTGGTTATCCCACTTCTGTTTTATAGTTATATGGATGATGTATGGGACAGCTAATTTGTCTCTTTAGTTCATGAATCCCAGTTCAAAAGGAGCCACATATAGACTTGATAGTGATCAGTAGATCCTGGATTTGAAGACAAATGCCATTATTGGATGAAAATTTGGGGGAGCAGGTCCTGGGATGGGAATGAGCATATTTCGTACTTGGGATGGATATGAATAACTGTGGTCAAGAAGTCATAGTGCAATAGATTTCATTAAAGCCCTTTGACTATGAGTTCACCACGTTATTTGCTTTGGTCAACAGGATAAAGCGCAAGCGGCAATATTTTAGCTCCAGCCCAGGTCCTTAGGGGCGTGGCATATTTTGAGTTAGCCCCCAGCATATCTTCCATTTCCACCAGAAGAATGTGTGAGGGCTAGCACATTGTTCTCAGGAGGAAGATGAAAGACATGTGAATAAGAGCCAAGTCAACCCGTCTGAATGCAGAAAGAGCTGGACAGAAATAAGCAGATCTGGGAAATATGGAGAGCATGTGTGCACATGTGCATTTATACACACATTCCTATGACTAGTTAGGGCTGAACCTGGGTGATTTCAAATCTTAATGAAAATCAGAACTCACTTTCCACTGGTGTTTTGTTGGAAACTTAACTTCTGAAAAGTTGTACTTGAAAAATAATCATTTGCAGGACAAGGTTGAGGTTGAATCAGAAGGCGTATAAGTATCAAATGGTCTTTTTTTTAAAAAATGTTTTATTTATTTCTAGGAGAGAGAGAGAAATAGCGTGAGCAGGGGAGGGTCAGAGAAAGAGGGAGTCACAGACTCTGAAACAGGCTCCAGGGTCTGAGCTGGCAGTCAGCACAGAGCCTGACATGGGGCTCGAACCCACAAACCGCAAGATCATGACCTAAGCGAAAGTCGGATGCTTAACCGACTAAGCCACCCAGGCGCCCCTCAAACAAATGGTTTGTAATAGGCATGGGGTAGTCCAGCATTGGGCCTTCTCCCCACTTACTCTGTCTTCCCTTCCAATCTTAATCCCTTCCAATCTTTTCAATCCAATCTGAGGGACTTGATCTATTTTTCCCTCTCCGAGAATGTATGAGAATCTACTTTTCAATTCTTGCTCAGCTGTGCATTACCTCTGTCTAGGGTATAGTGTATTTGAAGTGCTGGGGCGCCTGGGTGGCTCAGTCAGTTAAGCGTCCAACTTCAGCTAAGGTCATGATCCCACGTTTGTGGGTTTGCGCCCCATGTCGGGCTCTGTGCTGACAGCTCAGGGTCTAGAGCCTGTTTCAAATTCTGTTACTCCCTTTCTCTCTGTCTCTCCTCTGTTCTCTCTCTCTCTCAAATAAATAAACGTAAAAAAATTTTTTTAATGAAGTCACCAATATTTCCTCCTTTGTTCCTGGAAAATGGAATTACACTCTTCCCGTGTGGGAAAAAAATTAATGGAGGCTTTCCAATTTCCCAGGATTACTTTCTCTTCTGTAAAAGAAAATACATTAAAAATCTGATATGTGACCCATTTGTCAACGTTTACTAAGAGACAAGTTTACTCAGCTTCAAAGGCAGACATCCATTTCTGCTTTCTTGTTGACCAACCTGCTCTCAGGGGTAGTGGGTGTCCAGCTTTTACCAGAGACTCTTGCATTTTAGACGTTACCATGTGCTTGCCCAGCCATTGTATCGTGCTGATGCCAATTTTCTGGTTTTGATAATGTACTGTACTTCTATTACCATAGGGAAAGCTGGTTGATGGGTACATGAGAACCCTGTATTTTTTTTCAACTGTAAAATGTTTTCCAAGACAATTATTATTTTTTTAAAGAAAATGTCTTGGTCAGGACTTTAGATGAGATAAGACAGATCTTGGCGTGGGTGGAGCTAGAGCCTCACACACCGGATTTATGAAGGAGATGTTGTCATTGATCATTTCCTGGCTTGGTTGTGAGAAGGAAACGCTACACCAGGTGGTGGAGAACCAACGTGTCAGGGTAAAACCTCTACCCACACAGCCTGGGCACAAAGTGGGCAGGAGGGAACCATGATGGTCCAGTCCCCTGTCTTCCTTTGAACTATAAAACTGAAGACAGGATCTTGGTCTGGGTGGAAGAGACACTATGATCACAGAATTCCTGTCCTTGCTTTGCCTCGGTGAGTCTCCAGGACTGGGATGGATGGGTTTGGGTGGGTGAGAAAATCTACTGTGAAGTGGGGGGTGATGTGAGTTGATGGCTTCTGTGTCTTGGATACATGCTGCCTGTCAGAGTTTGGTGGGCTGTGGTACGACATGGCTCTATACTGGTGCTTGCATATAAGAAATGAGGAACCAAGGTTCAGAGACATGTAGTGACACCCTGGTTTACTCAGCTGAGAAATGCAGCGCTCCCATGGGGTCCCCAAACCTGTTTCATCTAAATACCAGTCTCACCATGAATGCTTGTTGGCATATACGTGGGTGGGATATATGGGCTGTGGAGCTGTGGGTTTGAGTACAAATCAGGAATTCAGTAAAGAGCTATGTCTGGAGACAATGGATGAAATGCAAATTTTCTGGTCAGCCCTATCCTTAGCCTGATTTTAACTGTCCTTGACTTGAATATGATGTAATCAGATGGACCTCAGCCTGTAGAAGGGAACCCCTCGATTGTAACTGTGGCTTGGTCACAAAGGAGCTCTAGACGTTGAACCAGCAGCTCCACTGATCAAGTCCCCACTTCCTCCCTCTTTCGTGAGTTGGGGGTGAGGGGTGTGTGTGGAGGACATCAGGACTTGTCATCTGTCCCAGTTCCTTCTTCCCTCTTGTGGGGGAAGCATTTGGGGTAGCGCTCCTTCCACACACACATTTGAGCTTCAGGGGCAGCTGTCTGTCGTGGTACCCCAAACCTCCCATTGTAGGGCAGAATAAGCTGGGCAGTCAAGAGACTGGCCTTTTCCTGCCTGTATTCATTTCCTGGGGCTGCCGTGACAAAGTGCCACAAACCAAGTGGCTTAAAACAATAGAAATGTATTCTCTTACAGTTCTGGAGGCAAGAAGTCCAAGATCAAGGTGCAGAGTTGCTTCCTTCTGAGGGCTCTGAGGCTTCATGGGAGAAGCTGTTCCAGGCTCTCATCACTTCTGAGGATGGCAGGCAGTCCTTGGGTTCCTTGTCTGTAGGTGCTTTGCTACAATCTCTCATGTCTTCACGTGGCCATCTTCCCTCTGTGTCTGTCTCCATGTCTCTCCACCTCTTCTTATGGGGACACCAGTCATACTGGATTAGGGTGCCATCTTACTCCCCAATAGCACTATTTCCAAATAAGGTCACATATTAGGACCTGAACATATCTTTTGGGGGGACACAAATCAACCCATAAGACTGCCCTCCTCTCTGACCATAATCTTTATTCCAGGGATGAGTCTATGATGCAAAGCAAGTCAGTTCATTTCTATTGGGAAGTTTCTCAAACTGGCATCAGGATGCAGATAAAGTTTGGTCCTCTGAAGTGACCTTCCAAAGATGTCATACTGTAGCTGCCCTCTGCCCCGCTTCCAGGCTCTTGGTTCTATCCTGACAATATTCAGAGGGAGTGACACATGCCAGTGGAGAGAAAGGGCCCTAACAGCACTGAATCCCTGGATCAGGCAGCTCTGGAGGCCAGCCAGACCCACCACTGCACTTGATGCAGGCTGCTTGCAGAAACTAATGCAACTTGTCATTTCCGCTTAATCTTATTTTGGGTGGACTTTTGATATCTGAATCCTTATACATCTTTAGTACAGAGGGTAAAAGTACCCAACTTCCATAAATTTTCTTTAATGTATTGAGGTACAGTTCACAAAGTAGTAACCATTTTAAAGTATTCAATATAGTGGCATTATAGACATTCACAATATTGTGTAACCATCACAAAACGACTTCATCACTCGTAAAGGAAATACTATACCCATGAGGCAGTCACTGATAATTCCCCTTCCCCCAGACCTGCCGGCCACCAATCTATTCTCTGTCTCTCTAGATTTAGCTATTCTGAATATACCATGTAAATGGAATCATATGACCTGTGACCTTTCATGTCTGTCTTCTTTCTCTTGGTATGATGTTTTTAAGGTCCATCCATGATGTAGCATGTATCGCTGTGACATTTCTTTCTATAATAGAATAAGATAATATACCATAATCTGAATAATCCTTTACAGAAAATTTTTAAGCTTTCCAGATGATGATTTCAAAGGATCTGTTAAATTGTAATTTGACAGTAACTGGGAGATCCAATTCCAGCACCTAGTTCTGGTATGTGAGGGTGGGACCCTGATACCACCAAGCAAGTCTTGAACATCAGTTGGGTATCCTATAATTTAACCCAATTCTGACACTACCTAGCTGGAGGTAGCATCAGATTCTGTAGGTAAGGTGTCAGTTCTACAAGAATGCCTCCTACCCATTTCAGATTCCAGTCACCAGTCCAGGTGGTCACCTTGGATTCTGATCAACTGTCTGTATATCAAGAGTTCCCATGACCCCCTCTTTTGGCCCAAGTTATTTGCTAAAGAGGCTCACAGAATTCACAGAAATATTTTATTTACTAGATTACTAGTATATTATAAATATATATATATATTTATTTATTTATATGTATATGACTCAGAAATGGCCAGATGGAAGAGATGAGGAGGGCCAGGTATGGGGAAAGGACACAGAGTTTCCATGTCCTCTCCAGGTGCACCACTCTCCCTGCACCTCCATATGTTCACCAACTTGGAAGCCCTCTGAACTCGTCCTTTTGAGCTTTTATAGAGGTTTCATTACATAGGCATGATTGATGAGATCATTGGCCATTGGTGATTGATTCCATCTCCAGCCCCTCTCCGCTCCGAGGTCAAGGAGGTGGAACTCAAAGTTCCAACCTTGTCCTCCTATGGTTGATTCCCTTGGCAACCAGCCCCCATCCTTAGGTTCAGTCCAAAGTCACTTCATTTACATAATGAAGAGATCTTTATTGCTTTCAACACTTAGAAAATTCCAAGGGTTTCAGGACCTCTGTGCCAGGAACCAGGACAAAAACCAAATGTCTATTTCTTACCATAAATCTCAGTATCACATTAGTTTTTAGGGAACTGTGGTTTCTAGTGCTCCCACTCCTTCCTATCTGAGTAGAAGGTACTAGCCCCTAACTAGGCTGGACACTGTACAGCTCTCCATTTGATGTACGTAAAGGCCATTCTAAAGGTTAAGTGTTGGATACATGGTAGAGGCAGGCAAATATGTAGCTGTATGGTAAGTGACTGTTGTCTGCAAAGGACCTCCTAAGTCATATGAGTATGTAAGTGGTCAATGTCTGTAAAGTGTCAGCCAAATGACAGATACTTGATCATTGGTAGTTTTTCTATTGTAATTATTCCTGGGAAATGTGCTTTTTCAAGTTATCCTGAATGCCAATGGGTCTCTTCCCCCTAATGACAGTTTTCTCCATTGCAGCCGGTCTTCCTTGTGTTAGTCAGCTGTGGTCCTTTGTTAAAAAGATGGACAAGTTCTGAGGGATCCAATGCACACAATGAGGACTTTAGTTAATAATTTGGTATTCTCATCACACACACACACTCACAAAGGGTAGCTATATGAGGTGATGGATGTGTTAACTAGCTTGATGGTGGTAGTGATAGATAGATAGATAGATAGATAGATAGATATAAAATCATCATATTATATAACTAAAATATACACAATTTTATTTGTCAAAGAAAGAGGACCCGTCACTTTCTATTCTCTGGTAGTGTTTCACAATGTAAAATGAACTAAAAGGGATTCACTATTTGAGCAGAATATTGGCTGATATCAGAGCTGAGATAACATGAGTCTGAAAGCAGGATTGGGAGGGGGCATTAAAAAGGGACCATGAGATCTAGGACCCCTGACCACCCAGAGAATGATTTCAAATCATTAGAATGATTACTAATCCCAGACACTGTCACTGCAGGTGCTCTCTCAGTACACTGTCTAGCACCCACTTCCTTCCTTCTTGGTGAAGCCTGAGGGTCCATGTTGTAAGTTGGCCTCTGAGTTTAAACAAGGGCCAGATGTCTTGAGTTACTCTTGCACTGAGAAATTCTAGCTTCAACTCTTGGCAGACCCCAAGACTGGTTTCCCATATTTTCATCCATGGGATTACATTCCTGTCCCAGAATGAAATAAATAGAACAGAACACAGAGGAGCTAATGTTTGTCAAGATCAAAGCCATGAGTGAAGAAAGCATTTAGGACCATGAATGTCTTGAATTCTTTGTGAAAAGAAGAACTTTGTTAGAGCAACTGCTCTCCATCTGAATCAGAGAGGAAACCCTCCACTCACACTCTACAGTAAAATAACCACTGTATCATTTAAGTGGTAAGGGTGAAAAGTGCAGTCATACAAGATAGGAGAGGAAAATACAAGTAAATGTGCAATGATTTCTAGAAGGTGAAACAAAAGACTAATTGTGAAAGGAACACAATAAATCAGGAAAGGTTACTGGAGTTTTGTACATAAACATAACTCCTGAATGAGAAACAATGGGACATTAGCAAAAGGTAAAAACTTAACTCAAGGAAGTACCTTCAAGAAAAGGGATGGATCTTTAACAAATTACTCATGCATTGCCTGCCTGATTTGTACTCAAAGACAAGTATATAATTCACGTCTCACGAGGGTTTCTCTTCCAGGGCTTTCCCTGGGCTTTGAAGACGAGAAAAAGAATGGTGAGTTTTCTTGCATAAACTCAATCTGTTCCTATATCCCAAGTTTTCTGTCAGATCCTCTGAATTCTGGGAGGGCATTGGCCGTCATCATGAGGAAGAGTCAGACTAACTCTGAATTCTTTCCAGAGACACTGACCAGACCCTACCTCAGTGCCTTGCCCAGCCCAGTGGTGGAACGCGGAGGTAATGTGATCTTGAGGTGCCAGGGTCACTGCCAGAATGTGACATTCATGCTGGGGAAGCTGCAGGACTCTAGGTACAGACAGGAGCAGAGATCTGCAGGACATGCAGCTGAATTCTTCCTCACTTACCTGGAGCCAAAGGATTCTGGGACATACTTTTGTGCCTACAAGGCAATGGACTCCCAGGAGTGGTCAGAGAAGAGTGAACATCTGCAGTTGGAGGTCACAGGTGAGAAAGGCAGCTTCAGGTCTGTCCTTGAGGCACATATTCCTTGTCCTTTGATGGAAGCTGCCTGAGGAAAGAAGAATCCAGGAAACAAAGACAGGTGTGACTGGTTGAGTGTAGAGAATTGGGGGTGGTAGTGGATGGGAACTGAATTTGGAGACCAGTTCTCATCAGAGATTCTGAGTGGGTATCAATGAGGTGGGTGTGGGAGAGTGTTCCAGAATACAGGTATTAACAGAAAATTTGAGGTAGAGTCGGACCAAAGATGGAGAGGTCATTGTCATTAGAAAAAAAAGGGGTGTTGTTATACTTCCCAAGAAGAGGGGGGCGCTATGCCATTCAGGACCACAAAGAGAAGCACCAGGACTAGTCAGGAAGCAGAGGGAGAGACAACACAGGGCCAGAGTCTTTACTGTGGTTTCTGCGGGAAGGAACAGGTTTAGGATTGGCTCTGGGGTATAGAGGCTGTCTCTGATTGTTTGGTATCTAGCTCTGGAGTCATTAGGGCCAGCAAACAGTGGTCCAGAGTGCGGGAGCCATAGTGGAGGTGGTTGGGAGGGTGAGCTCCGGATTGCTTGGGTTGCGTTTGAGAGGCATGCTTGAGGAAGAGCTGTCTCCTATCTCTAGGAAGTAGACACCCTGGGAGGGGAATATCTCCAGTGTCAGCAAGGTCCCAAGATGTCAAAGAATCAAAAACAGAAAATAAAAGTTGTGGTTAACACAGAGATGGTAAGAATGTCCCCAGGTGCTTTGGAAAAGGGGAAACCCTGGTCCTCCCCCTCACACCCCTTTGCTTTGTCCTCTTCAGGATCAATCCTAAAACCTACCCTCTTACTTGGCATAGACCCTGAGATGATTCCAGGTCACAGTATGAGACTCTGATGTCTGAGTCCATACAACAGAACTGAATGTAAGGATATCGTTCTGCTGAAAACGGTGATCGCAGAGCTGCTACAAGTTGAGAAAATAAGAAAATCCAAACTGAGCATCATGGCGGCATAAGACATCCCTTAATTTTGTTACCCCCCCCACACTTCAACAACAGCAATGTGGCATCCATGCACAAACAAAAGTGCTTCTGTGGGAGTTGTCAGTTCTGGCACCATACACCAAGGAACCCAAGAGGAGTCTCACCCTCCTGTGCATTGAGTAAAAGGCAGACAGACCTCAGTACCAGCTGTGGAACCTTCAGGAGACTGTAAATTAGTTCCAGGTCCTATTGGCCATGGTCCAGAAGCACCTGGAAATGTGACCAATCACTTACGGACAAGGGAACCTGTGTGGAAGTCTACAAATAAGACCGAATCATGAAGAAATGGAAAATACGAACAGATCAATAACGGAGAGTTGAGGAGAATGTCTCAAAAATAAAAAACCTCCCAAAGAAGAAGAGCCTAGGACCAACCAGATGGTTTCACTGATGAATTCTACCAGACATTTAAAGAAGAAATAATGCCAATCCTTCTCAGAGTCTTCCCAAAAGTTGAAGAGGAGGGAACACTCCTACTCATTTCATGAGGCCAGCATTACTGATACCAAAGCCAGACAGCAACACTAAAAGAAAACTACAGAGCAATATAATAAATATCCCTGATGAACAAAGATGCAGAAATACTCAACAAAACATTAGCAACCAAGTTCAACAGCACGTTAAGAAGGTTACACTCCATGGTTAAGTGGGATTTATCCCTGGGGTATAAGGATGGCCCAACATATACAATCAATCAATAAATGTGATAGACCACATTAATGAATAAAGGATGAAAGTCATATGATCATCTCAATAGATGCAGAGAAGGTATTTGACAACATACAACATGCTTTCGAGATAAAAAACTTTCCACAAATTGGGTATAAAAGGAATGCATCTCAACATAACAAAGGACATACAGAAGCCCACAGCTGGCAACATACTCAAAGGGGAAAGGTCAAAAACTTTTCCTCTAACATCAGAAACCAGACAAGAATGTCAACTCTCACCACTTTGATTCAATGTAGTAAAACGTAGTAACAGAGCAATCAAATAAGACAAAGTAAAAGATATCCAAACTGGAAAAGAAGAAGTAAAACTGTCTTTATTTGCAGATGATGAAATCTTATATGTGGAAAATCCTAAAGTCTCAACCAAAAAACTACGGGATCCTGAATGGTCAAAGCAATACTGAGAAAGAAGAACAAAGCCGGGAGTATCACACATCCTGATTTCAAACTATACTAAAAAGCTATAGTAATCCAAATGGTATGGTACTGGTATAAAAATAGCCACATAGACCAGTGAAACAAAACCAAGAGCCCAGAATTCAATCCTCACATATACAATCAACTAATATTTGGCATGGCAGCCAAAAATACTCATTGGGGTGAGGGTAGTCTTGTCAATAAACGGTGTGGGGAGAACTGGATAACCATATGCAGAAGAATGAAATTGGACCCCATCTTGCACCATTCACAAAAATTAACTCAAAGTGTATTAGAGCCTTAAACGTAAGACCCCATACCATAAAACTCCTGTTAAAAAAAAAAAAAAAACGGGAAAATTCCTTTGCTTGATCTTGACAATGAGTTTTTCAGATATGACACATGAAGTATAAAAAAACAAATGCAAAAATAAATAAGTGGGAATGCATCAAGCTAAAAAGCTTCTGCACGGCCAAAGAAACGGTCAACAAGATGAGAAGACAACCTACAAAATGGGAGAAAATATTTGCTAAATGGTGGTGCTCTTTCCTGGGATAGGGAAGACGGGCAAGGAATAGGATTGGAAGTGTGTGTGTGTGTGTAGGGGGGGATTAGTGGAGTCATATAAATAGTTTTGTTATTAAAAATGATATCAAAACTCCAGGAATATTAGAAAGAGCAATCTAACATTATGACCCTGGTTTGGGGACCCAGCAAGCATCCCAAGAGTGGAAAATACATTCTCTGCTTCCTAAAGAAGGCATAGTAGAGTCTATGAGTGGAGCAAGAGAACTTAGATCCCTTAGATTCCCACACAATCATTGTGACTTTTTTCTTGCATCCTGTTTTCTAGATGACCAGGATAAACGTAGAGGTCCTCCAGAGGAAAAAGGTAAGATAGCTCGAAAAATGTTTTTCCAATAAGTCAGGCAGAGAAAGGCAGATACCATGTTTTCACTCATATGTGGATCAGGAGAAACTTAGCAGAAGACCATGGGGGAGGGGAAGGGGAAAATAGTTAAGGAGAGGGAGGGAGGCAAATCATAAGAGACTCTTAAATACTGAGAACAAACTGAGGGTGGATGGAGGTGTGGGGGAGAGGGGAAAGTGGGTGATGGGCATGGAGGAGGGCACTTGTTGGGATGAACACTGGGTGTTATACGGAAACCAACTTGACAATAAACTATATTTTAAAAAATAAGGAAAAAAAAAGAATCCCCACAAGTATAAGAGAATGGTTATTTTCATCATTTTAGTGTGTGTTCAGAGGCCAGCCAGATATTAACCAAAAAAAAAAAAAAGTACATTTTTGTTAATCAGTTATAAAGGTGACTTATGTACCATATGACAAGGCATGTAACTAATGTGACTTATTCAGATGCAATCATAATTTCAAGATTTACTTCATTTCTTTATAAATATTTTAATAAAAAATCAAGAAAGCACCAAGTAAATACTAGTAGGAATAGAATAGTGAATTCCATATTATTACTAAACCTTCTTAGTATGTATATTCGACAAGTGTTTTCAGAAATGGAAGGCACTGATGGGAAAAAAAAAACAACAACAACTGTTCACCATAGTAAGGGTTAGCAAACTACAGCCTGCAAGCCAAATCTGGCCCACCACTTGGTTTTGTAAATAAAGATTTATTGGAATACGAAGAAGAAGGAGAAGAAGAAGAAGGAGGGGGGGAGGGGAGGAGGAGGAAAAGGAGGAGGAGAAAAAGAAAAATGTTTTTCCAAATTATACTCACCTCATGAGGCGGGGGATCCCCTTTGATTAAAAGGCACGAGAAGCATCTTGATGCCTGATTTTTCGATATGATTGGGAGAATGTTTGCCTCTCCAGGGGAGACGACCCCCAGGCCCCTCCTGGGTTCATAAAAATCTGATGAGTGAGAGCACAAGATGCATCGTCTGTCGTTCTACGTAACGAGAAAGCTATGATGGAGTTTTGGGAAGAATGGGGTGGCTCGTGTGTCTGGTTTGAGCCGCAGCACCCCTATACTGCGGAGTCCGCGTGCTGTGGAAACACGTGTGACCAAAGGACTTGCTAAAACTTCAAAATTCAAAGCACAGCTGAACATTCAGTTACTTTTCTCTAATGTTGCTTTTCCACAAAGAATTGGCTAAGATTCTATCCTCAGAGATGCCTGTAAAAGTTAGAGCTTTTGACATCTTTGGATGAAAACAGGAGCTCATCCAGATTTTAATGGCCAAATATATAATGTAAGTTGGCAACTAGAAGCTTACTCATCTTAAATTTCTGCAACTCGTAACCTCCCTGTAAGCTATTCCAAAGAGCCAGAATTGTTCAGGGCCGTCATTAGGGTGAACACTGGCATGACCAGTTTTGTTTTTGTTTTTGTTTTTGTTTTTTTTAAGGTTATCTCCCAAAATGTCCTTACAAAATACGTAATAGCCTTTGACAATGTTTTTATTCAGTATTAGCAGACTTGGGAAATGATTTCTATTCCAACTCCAGGAACGTAATGCATGCCACAAATGTTTTCTTGGAGAGGTCTGAAATCGGATAGCATCAAGGAGCATGAAAATGTCAGAGGTAGAGCCGGAAGTCCAGTGGTCATGAAAGAGGAAGAGAAACATTCGTGGTTTCAGCTCTTGCGTTATTTTCTTTCTGTTTGATTGATACATAATTCACACTCGGTAAATTCACCCTTTTAAAGTATACGACTCAGTGGCATTTTCGTACATCTGCAAAGCTGTGCAAGCATCACTGCTATACAATTCCAGAACATTCTCATCACCCCCAAATGAAATCTCCAGCCTGTTAAGCGGTCTCTCCCCACTCCCATCCCCATGGTGGACATTTGGGTTGTTCATACCTTTCGGGTATCGCAATAATGCTGCCCTGAGCCGGGGTAGAATTAGAAGGGCATATAACTCTATGTTTAACTCTTTGAGAAACTGCCAAGTTAGTTTCCAACGTGGCCACCCATTTTACATTCACACCAGTAATACATGTGGGTTCCAATATCTCCTCATCCTTGCCAACCCTTATTTTCCTTTCATTTTATTATAGACTCCCTAGTGGGTGTCTACTTAAGATGTACTTTCTGAGTTCAAGTTTATACCACCGCAATCCTAAACAGAACAGAACCTTAAGCTCAGATAGGATGTCCCCAGCCTGCACGTGAGGCCGGCCTTCTCTTCTGTGCCTGTGACTTTATTTACCTCCCATGTCAAGCCGTATCCACTTGCTTGTCTGATTCCTCTCCCACCAACACCAGAGGCTCTTTGTAATTTATTCTGGCACCTTGTAAACAGCAGTGTGAAATTTAACCAGGATATGTGGACATCTCAGGGTGAACTCAGATCAGCGCGTGTGGGGCCATATGAAGACGAAAATCTTGTAAGAGTTTACTTCTCATTTCTAGTGAGTTGCTGTGGGAGAGAAATCTAGGCTAGAAAGAAGGCTGAGGTATCTCTGCGTCCATTCGGGGCCTTGCTGGTCCAGGAAGAGCCGCTCCTGCCCCATTTCTCACATCCCTGGGGATGCACTGATAGATTGCTGTGTTTGAGTGTGTCTTGGATTCAGGGCCACCAGAAGCAGACTCTCACATAAGTCTGAGGGTGGAAGTGATCTCGTAGGGAGCACAGGAGAAGAAGAAATGAGAAGAAAAGGACAGATCAAGAGTGAGTGTCTTTTGCTCAATGCTGCAGGAAAGTGTGGGACACAGAGAAGGTCACACACACTGGGCGGCCAGGGGATAGGGTGGCTGTGCTCCCACAAAAGGCAGTCATCGGGTAGAGAGATGTCCCTGGGTACATAAATCCCAAAGCATTCGGGATCCTTCCTGGCAGTCCCCGACAAAGAGATGCAAGTGCTCACAGTGGAAAGTGAAGGAAACCATGATCCAGAGTGCATAAAAATGGCAAAGGAATCTGGGGGAGCGGGGAAGGAGAAGTATCGGCATCATCTGTTACAGAGGGAGACAGGTGTGGGCGAGATATCGGGGGAGAAAATAATCATTATCGCTGCAATCTCATTATCCTACACGATGAGTCAGATTCTAGACTGAGTGCTTTAAAGCCAGCACTTTCCATCATTATCCAGCTCTACAAGTTAGGGATTCTCACCCCCACCCCTCTCCTTCTGGCCTCATCTTTATGGAGAGGCAATCAACAAATAAAATATTTAAAGTGTGCCACGTGATGGTTGGATGTACGTTTGCACCATGAAAGGAATCCCTTCATTAAGTTAATGAATAGGTCTTCCCGTCACATATTCACCTTGTTTTTTAAGTGAAAATGCTTAAGATCTCCTTTAGCACATTTCAATTATACAATAGGGTGTCATCAACAACTGTCACATGCTATATGTTACATCTCCAGAACTTATTCAGTTTTTATTTTTATTTTTTTAATGTTTATTTATTTTTGTGAGAATGAGAGACAGAGCGTGAGGGAGGGAGGGGCAGAGAGAGAGGGAGACACAGAATCTGAAGCAGGCTCCAGGCTCTGAGCTGTCAGCACAGAGCCTGACACGGGGCTCGAACTCACAAACCTGAGAGATCATGACCTGAGCCCAAGTTGGATGCTTAACGAACAGAGCCCCCCAGGCGCCTCTATTCATCCTTTAACTGGAAGCCAGTAGCCTTTCACCAGCCTCTTCCCACTTACCCCACCCTCAGTCCCTGGCAACACCATCTACTCTCTGCTTCTGGGACTTCAATTAAAAAAATTTTTTTTTAAAATTTTTTAGATTCCAAGTGTAAGTAGAATCCAATCATGTAGTGTTTGTCTTTGGTTCCTGTCACTTAGCATAATGCCCTCCAGGATCATAGGCTTTGTTGCACACGGTAGGATGTTCTGAATAGTATCCCAGCGTGTGTCACATGTAAACAACCCTTGAACTGGGACGGAGTTCGGACTTCCACTCATCTGATGGGACTTGCCATTGCCTCTGCAGCATCACTGTTGTGTGCGTAGACACGCATCTGCCCAGACTGTGAGCTCACTTCTCTGAGGTTTCCACAGCCAGGGGCCAGCGCAGGGCTGCCCTGACCTGTGGCTGCCTGGCCTGAAGGGTAGGCATCCCAGGACTCAAAGCCCATCCCGGCTGTGTGCCTTTTTTTTTTTTTTTTTTAACATTTATTTACTTTGAGAGAGAGAGACAGAATGTGATCAGGGGAGGGGCAGAGAGAGAGAGAGACACAGAATCTGAAGCAGCTCCAGGCTCTGAGCTGTCAGCACAGAGCCTGATGTGGGGCTCGAACCCACAAACTGTGAGATCATGACCTGAGCTGAGTTCTGATGCTTAACCGACTGAGCCACCCAGCCGCCCCTAAATCTTCGATATTACTGATACACTTATTGGCTGACACACTTATTGGGAATTTCCCTCAGGTGAGGCTGTCTCTGAGAATGCTGACCGGGCCCCCCACCCCCACCCCAACCATGCAGGACAGTAGCTACTATTCCGATCCTTGCTTTGAATGGGGAAATGCAAAGTCGGAAACATTCCCCCAAGTCACTGGAAGTTCCAGCTCAGAGCAGCAGCTGAAGGTTTAGAGGCCAGGCTGTCTGGCTGCTCACGACTGTTCAAGTAAACTCGATCAGGGTGTCACGGGAGCCAAACTGACTCTCTGACCTGCTCCCCTCCCAGCAGCCACCGGATCCACCATTGCTGCCATCTGTAGCTGCCTTTCCATCTTGATCCTCTTTCTCTCCATCTTCTTCATCAACAAATGCACCCAAGATGGTGAGTTCAGGGACGCACCAATTCAAAACGCTGGGGAAGGGGAGTGAAGTGAAGGATTTTCTCATTAGATAAATTCCTCCCTGTTATTCTTCTTCTTCTTCTTTTGTAGGTCCATCACATGAAGAAGAATTCACCAAGAGGTAGATCAACTTGATGTATCTTGTGCCCCCCCTTCTTCACAGACCCTGTTTGCGTGTGATTCGCACGCCTGTCCGGCCTGTGCTATGACTCTCCTCTTCTCTCCAAAACCCTATCCTGCTCCCCAATCTTCAGATCCCATACTTTAATGTGTGTCTCTCTCTCAGAGCCAGCCACTCCCAAGTTCCCCAGCAGGAGGCTACGGGTGAGTGATGAGGGAAGAAACCACAAGGGCATCGGAGGATAGAAAGAATAAGTCTGACTCCTACAATCTGAAAACTAATTATTTTTCCTTTTCACTCACATGCAGATTCACCCGACCTGGAAAGGATATCTGTCTCGGTGAGTTCTCCCCATGGGCTCACTTATCTCCATAGGCTGACTTTGTTCGCCCCTACCCCGTTAGCCCATAGTCTGGTTACGTGAATGCCCCCCATCCCATGCAGCTCACACAACATTGAGGAGCCAACTAACATTGTGTTTAAAAACATATGCTTCGACCAAACTCATAAAAACAGAGAGTAGATGGTGGTTACCAGGGGGGTGGGAAACCTGGGGAGATGTTGGCACATCAGTAAGTCCTGGAGATGAAATGCATAGCATTGTGATTATGGTCCATAACACTGTGTGCAAACTTCAGAGTTGCTAAGAGACTAGATCTTAATTGTTCTCACTGCAAAAAAGACATGATAATTATGTGACAGAATTCATGTGTTAGCTAACACTGTGGCGGTAAACATGTAACATATAAATGTATCAATTCAACACTTGGTACATTTATATATTGCAACATGATCACCACCATAGTGGAAGTAAAACCTATACAATGTTATATGTCAAATATATCGTAATCAACAAAGATACACGTGCTTTTGAATTCCAGAGTAGCTAGACTCCAGCTGCCCATGGCTACTATGTATTACCTATATGGTCTGAGGCAACTCACACAACCCCTGTGATCTGGACCCCTCCCTGTTAGTTTAGATAACTAAAGGCCTGTGTGAATCCAGTGATGTACTAATCATAAAGGGTTTGCTGGAGTTTCCAGAAAATTTTAAACATCAGATGGATGGCATGAAAGCATCAATTAACAAATGTTAATCAATGTACATCATCAATTTTTTTCTATTTAAAATACTGTTTACTTGTGATTTAACATTAATTAGCATTACCTCGGGGGCACCTGGGTGGCTCAGTTGCTCAAGTGTACGACTTCAGCTCAGGTCATGATCTCACGGTCCTGAGCTCGTGCCCCACGTTGGGCTCTGTGCTGACAGTTGGGAGCCTGGAGCCTGCTTCGAATTCTGTGTCTCCTTCTCTCTCTGCCCCTCCCTGACTCACGCTCCGTCGCTCCCTGTCTATCAAAAATGAAAAAGCATAAAAAAAAATTTTTTTAATTAACATTACCTCTAAGAACAGTATCAGGTAACATTTATACATTTTCCCATGGGACACAGAAGTTCATTGGTTCATTCTTTATGTCAAAGCAAGTAAAGAGAGGCATTAACAAAAAGTGCAGATGGTTCACTGTTGTGTTTTAAAAATATTTATGCACATGGCATTCATTTAGATATGTGTATAATTTTTTTAACGTGTGGAAAACATAGTTCACAGATTCACAAATGAAGCCTCCATGAACAAATCTGGCCTATTTTAAGCACTGGATTAATGGCATTGATTGGCAAATTGTTGATAATAATACTAAAATAATATAATATTATGATGTGCTACCTCCATACAGTGAAATTCTATTCAGCAATAAAAAAGGAAGAAACTAGGTACATATGGTAAACAGATGCATCACAAAACCATTTTGCCAAGTGAAAAAAAGCCAGATACAGAAGACTGTCTATGGGGGTGTTTGATTTGTGTAAAATCTCCAGAAAAAGCAAATCAGTAGTTGCCTGGGGGTGGGGTGGGGAGAGCAGGTGTAACCACACACAGGCACCAGGGAACTTTTTTGGGTGATGAATGTTCTAAAACTTAGTGTGGCCATGGCCACATCAATCTACCAATTCACTAATTACATAACCAGTAGGTGTTCTGTTTTGTTTTGTTTTTTATTTTTTTTGGGAAAGGGAGAGACAGAGCATGAGCAGGGGAGGGGCAGAGAGAGAGGGAGACACAGAATCAGAAGCAGGTTTCAGGCTCTGAGCTGTCAGCACAGAGCCCGACGCGGGGCTCGAACCCACAAACCGTGAGATCATGACCTGAGCCGAAGTTGGACGCTTAACTGACTGAGCCACCCAGGCGCCCCACCAGTAGGTATTCTTAAAGGGTGGTGGTTCTTATTCTCAAACCATACATTTGCAATGGCTGTTATTAGTACCAGTTATAGTTATTAGCATCGTTCCGTTAAAAACAGAGTCACAACCCTCACTGCCTGTGAAACACGGCCATTCCTAGGATGGAGCTGTCCAGTCGGACTTCCCACCATGGTGGGAGGGCCCTGTAGCTGTGCTGTTATAACAGCCACTGGCTACGTGTGGCTGTTGCACATTTGAGATGCATCTGGTGCGACTGAGGGCCCGAGTTTTAAGTTAGATTTCATTTTAATTCGCTTAGATGTAAATAACCATATGTGGCTCGTAGGTACCATATTAGACAGCTAAGCTCTAAATGCCCTTGTTTTTTCCCCAAAGGCTGAAAGACTCCCAGAGAGTGAGCTATGCTGATCGAAATCCCAAGGCACCACCTGAGGCAGCTTCTTTCCCCGGATGAGGAGCACCCAGGATTCTTTGAACGTTCAGTGTTGCAGAATCCCGGGAAGAAGGAGAACAGGGCTTAAGATGGTGGAGATGACTGGACACATGGAAACCAGGTCACTGTGTGTCCTTGGCTCAGAGTCCACAGTAATAAAATTACATTTCTGCCTTTTTGCTTCCACACTTTCAAGAATTACTGGCTGGGTTTCCCCAAAATTTGGAGTGTGACTTTAGTACAGTTTGACTTAAAATATAGGCTAAGAACACGTACCACGTGTATGGGCTGGTAGTACCATGATACCCACTCAGGGAATGCTGGATGGGACCCATACATAGAAAACTGTTCCCCTTGGGGCACCTGGGTGGCTTAGTCGGTTAAGCGTCCGACTTTCGCTTAGGTCATGATCTCGCGGTTCGTGGGTTCGAGCCCCGCGTCGGGCTCTGTGCTGACTGCCAGCTCAGAGCCTGGAGCCTGTTTCAGTCTGTGTCTCCCTCTCTCTCTGACCCTCCCCTGCTCACGCTGTCTCTCTCTCTCTCCTAGAAATAAATAAAACATTTTTTAAAAAATTAAAAAAAGAAAGAAAGAAAGAAAGAAAACTGTTCCCCAGAAAAGTCCATTGGTTGCTGTTGGGTGAGGCATCCCATAGACTGAGGGATTTTGAAAAGGAACACAAGGTACAAGCCACAAATGTAGACACCCAACTGTGACCTATTAAAAGCAACCCTAAGTGGCATGGGCCACAGTAAGTCACTAGATGTATTTCGTTCATGATCCTTCCAAGCCGTGCTGGGCAGAGCCATCTATTCTTAAAGTCAAGACCAGTTTCCTTTCTGACCTGCATGGAAGAGTTTTCTCAGTGCCCATCATATCTCTGTTTACATTATTTCTTTAAAATCAAAGGATACAATGAAGCTAGACTTGCCACATATATGTGGGTATTATTGCTTGGAGCCCATAACTTCATTAATTTACGTATTATGTCATTGTAAGGATCTTTCTGAGGGTGGTCTTTTTTTCTGTGACAACGACTCCGAATGGCCAGGAACATGTAAACACAAACACATGACCCTGATTCCAAAGTTACATCACCTGATCAAGTTTGAAAGTCATTTTTTAACATATGAATGAACTAAAATGTAAGGATTCAGGATGCACATATAAATATTCTTAGCTCACAAGCATATACAGGGTAACTTTTCTCTTTCTAGGTTAGGTTTTTAATTATGAAATGATTCAATTATTATGGAAAACACCAAATATAGGGGCACTTGGGTGGCTCAGTTGATTAAATGTCTGACTTCAGCTCAGGTCACGATCTCACGGTTAGTGAGTTCGAGCCCCGCGACTGGCTCTGTGCTGACAGCTCAGAGCCTGGAGCCTGCTTCGGATTCTGTGTCTCCCTCTCTCTCTGCCCCTCTCCCACTCATGCTCTGTCTCTCAAAAATAAATAAAAACATTTAAAAAAAATAATAACTAAAAAAAGAAAACACCAAATATAAATGGAAATAGGCATACTGACCTTACTTTCTGCACATTAACATTTTGCCGTGTTTCAATTCTACCACTTCCAGTCTGTTCTCCTTCCTCTCTCCCTGGAGGTGAGTATTATCCAAGCTGTTATATGTTGTTCTTGTGCATTCTTCACACTTCTACTACACAGACATCTACTGATTGTCAATATAGGGCAAGAGTCTATGTGTTATTAATATATATATATATATACAAATATATGGAATCACGTTGTAGGTTATAATCCTGTGACTTTTTAATTGTCCTCAATATTATGCTTTTGGAAATCACCCAGGTGAATTTCGTGGGTCTGGCTCATTGCCCACTGTATAGAATTCAGCTGTTAACCATACCACGGAATGTTACGTTTCAGCCATAACAAGGAATGACCTGCCACAGCATGGATGAACCTTAAAAACATTATGCTCAGTGAAGGAAGCTGGTCACAAACAAAAAACTACATACTATAGCATTCCATTTATGTGAAATATCCAGACTAGGCAAGCCCTTAGACACAGAAAGCAGATGCATGGATGCCAAGGGGCTGAGGGAAGTGAGAATGGGCATGGGACTCCGTTTTGGGGGGTTATGGAGATGCTGTGGGATTAGAGACTGGTGCAATATATTGCACAACCTTGTAATATATTTTTAAAAACCCACCGAATCGTACACTTTAGAAACAGATTGTGGGGCACCTGGCTGGCTCAGTCAGTGGAACATGCAGCTCTTGATCCCAGGGTTGTAAGTTTGAGCCCCACATTGGGTGTAGAGATTACTTAAACATCTTAAAAAAAAAAAAAGCAGCATAGATTTTATGGTATGTGAATTATACTTCAGTAAAACCAATTTTTGAAAAGAACTTGGTTATATTGCACAAATCATGGTTTCTCTTTATTCTTTCCTTGGCTGCTAGATGTTTGAGTTGTTTTTAGGGCTCTGCTGTTAGAAAAATCCTGCAAATGACATCTTTGTACCCGCCCTCTTTTTTAAAAAATATAATTAATTGTCAAATTGGCTTCCATACAATACCCAGTGCTCATCCCAACAGGTGCCCTCCTCCATGCCCATCCCCCATTTCCCCCTCTCTCCCACCCCCATCAGCCCTCAGTTTGTTCTCTGTACTTTGCCTCCCTCCTTCTCTGATTGTAACTATTTTCCCCCTTCCCCTCCCCCATGGTCTTCTGTTAAGTTTCTCAAGATCCACACAGGAGTGAAAACATAGGATACCTGTCTTTCTCTGACTGACTTATTCACTCAGCATAATACCTTCCAGTTCAATCCACCAACCTGCCCTCTTGCTCACAAATGTGATCTCTTAATGGCATACATTTAGAAGTAAAATCTGTCTTGTGTGATGTGCACACCTTTAATCCCACCGGGAGAGGCAAACTGAAAAAAACTAAGGTAGTTTTCCCTATTTATACTTCCACCAGGGATGTATAAGTTCCCAATTCCCCATGTTCTTGCCACTTCAGAAATATGTTAAACTTGATATTTTTTGCTGATTAAAATAGATGAACTCATAACCCAATTTAAGCCTACTATATAAAGATATCTCATTGTTGTTTTAATTTGCATTTTCCTGATTATGAGTGAGGCTTATTGACCATTTGGGGTTTCTTTTCTGTAAATTGATGGTTTCTATCCATTGTTCATGTTTCTGCTGAACTATAAGTCTTTTCCTTGCTGATTCTAATAAAATTTTTAAATGTTTATTTATTTTTGGGAGAGAGAAAGACACAGAGTACAAGCAGAGGAGGGTCATTGAGAGGGAGACACAGAATCTGAGGCAGGCTCCAGGCTCTGTCCCCACATGGGGCTCAAACTCATGAACTGTGAGATCATGACTTGAGCTGAAGTCAGACGTTTAACAAACAGAGCCACCCAGGTGTCTCTCTTTCTGATTTTTATATAGCAGGCACACCTTTCCTTTGTAAGCTGTCTCCTGGAAGTCTGTGACATATTTTCATTCCTTTAGTATCTTTTAATGTTAGTAGAATCAAAGTAATTCATCTTTTCACTTACATGTTGAGAGACTTCTCTGTGTCCTGACTAGCTTTACATGACAAATATACTCTTTCATATGTCCTAAATTTAAAATGTTTTCAATTTGGGGGCACCTGGGCTGCTCAGTCAGTTAAGCATCCGACGCTTGATGTCAGCCCAGGTCATGATCTCATGGTTTGTGGGTTTGAGTCCTATGTCTGGCTCTGTGCTGACAGTGCAGAGTCTGCTTGAGATTCTCTCTCTCTCTCCCTCTCTCTCTGCCTCTCCCCTGCTCTCCCTCTCTCTCTTTCAAAATAAATGAATAAACTTAAAAAATTGTGTCTTCAATCTGATGAAATATGCCCACTTCTTTTTTATTATTGATTTATTTGAGAGAGAGATAAAGAGGAAGCAGGGGAGAGGGGCAAAGGGGGAAAGAGAGAGAGAGAGACAGAGAGAATCCTAAGTAGGCTCCACGCTCAGTGCAGAGCCCCACATAGGGCTCAAACCATGACCCTGGTATCATGACCTGAGCTGAAATCAAGAGTTAGGTGCATGACCGACTGAGCCACCCAGGGCCCCAAAATTCACTCCCTTCTATTCCATCATGCTGCCTTCCATTGTTAGCATAGTCCAAATTCTTGATAGGAAATGACAAAAGAGGAAACCTAATTTGGAAAGACTTGAAAACGATCAGGAAAAATGGGGGTGGGGGGAAGGGTGCCAGGTTTGCCTCAGTTTGTAGAGGCAAACATGTGACTCCTGATCTTGGGGTCTTGAGTTGAAGCCCCATGTTGTGTGTAGAGCTTACATAAGCAGAGAGAGAAGGAAAGAAGGAGGGAAAGAAGGAAGATATTGAGTCATGTAACCTAACTAAGCAAAAGGCAGAACTACAGATATCTTCTGACAATTGCATCCACAGGCTCAAATATCATTTAAAAGACTTCTCTTCTCTGTATCTCTCATCCCTATTTCTATTTCTGGGTTATCATTATTATTCAGACCAGCTGTCCCGTGGAGTCTGGGACTGACAGTGACAATTCTAGGCTTAGAGCCTTGCAGACTTTTAGCCAAAGAGGTAAGGGGGGCTTTCACTTACTGGATCAATTTAGAAAAGATATTATTGGCTACCTTTGGAACATGCTAGAAACCCAACTCATAAAAGTATTAAACACAGAGGAAGGAAATCAAGCATTTATCTTGCCTTTCACTTATAACCTGTACCTCAGGACAACCACATAGTTTAGGAGGCCAAACGTCTGCTCATACATTAGTACAACTAATCCACGAAGAAGAAAACCTCCAACCCTTATCTTTGGCTGACACATGCCCACCTTATCAGGAGTAATAACAGGGTCTATGGCTTAGGATAGGTCATCCATGTATCTACATGGCGGTTAGAAAAATCAAGCCTGCTAACGCCTAGACCAGAGGTTGGCAAACTTTCTCTGAAAAGGACCAGAGGGTAGTATTTTCAGCCTTTGGGGACCATAGGATCTCTTATGATGACTCACCTCTGCTCTTGAAGCATGAAGGCAGCCATATCTGTTATGCAAACAAATATGTGGGGCTCTGTTCTAATAAAACTTTATTTACAAACATAAGTGATGGCCTATTGCCAACACCCATCCTAGACCAACATTTTTTGAAATCCAAATGCATCACCGGAATAAGAATTGAATTAA